TACAGACAAGCACAAAATTATTCAGCTTTGTATGCAAAGATCCCATATGCATTTGTCCAACAAGAGGAAGTAATAGTGTTGTGACCTTTGCATATATGAAGACATTCTGTCATGCACGGACTCTATGATTCAATGTGCATTGACTCAATGTCACAAACACATTATCCCAACATTATGTGGGTAAACCAAGAGCTGCTTCTTCCAGGTACTAGTGAATACAAGAATGACGTGTGAAATAGATCCCATATGCATTTGTCCAACAAGAGGAAGTAATAGTGTTGTGACCTTTGCATATATGAAGACATTCTGTCATGCACGGACTCTATGATTCAATGTGCATTGACTCAATGTCACAAACACATTATCCCAACATTATGTGGGTAAACCAAGAGCTGCTTCTTCCAGGTACTAGTGAATACAAGAATGACGTGTGAAATTTGAGGCTCGTCATTTTGGAAATTGGCAATAATCCCATGTGAAGGAGTGTAAAAGAGAGAGTGCAATTATTTTATTTCAACTGATGAACTAAGGCTCATCCACATAATGAACACAACAAGGCAATTTGACTGTTTCCCTTTACCAAGTATATTGCATGCATACAAAACTTCAACAATATTTGTTTAATGTCAGTATTTATTTTTATTTCAGGTATAGTTAACCTGTGAAACTCACTGATGCATAAAAGCAAGCCAAAAAGGACAAGACAGTTACTGTAAATGTTTTTCTTATTCATGTAACAACAAATTGTAGTATAACAGTATGCATTGTTGTGGTAGCCATGTCATCCCCAGTATATCTGAAAAATGTGATGGGTAAGGGAAGGTTACTCACCCTGTGCAATTACTCGAGTTCTTCAAGATGGTTGTCCCCGAGATGGCTGCACCCATGATCGGCAGACTTTTGATAGCAGTGCCACTCTGGTTGGGTATGCACGTGGAGCGCTGGCATGTGGCAGTTGGAACAGTCATCCCACGCACACAGCCAACCATCTCCTCAGTTCCTTCTCTGACCCAGAAGCAGACAGATCCAAAGTCAAGGGGAGAATGGTGGGTGGTGGAGCATCCATGGGGACAACCATCTCAAAGAACTCCAGTTACTGCATAGGGTAAGTAACCTTCACTTCTTCTTTGGGGAATGTCTCCATGGGTGCTCCACCTTAGGTGACTAAAAAGCAGTGTTCGTGCTTGATGGTAGGTGCTTCGGTATCGTTGACTCAGTGACTGCAAGTACAGTTCGGCTAAAGTGTGTGTCTGTGTCCACATAATGCTGTGAGAATATGTGAATAAATCCCCATGTGGCAGCTTTACAGATGCCCTCCATTGGGATTCCACTGAAGAAGGCTGTTGTTGTTCCCATTGCTCTTATGGTCGTTGGGGGTGCTCTGTTAAATATACGACAGGCTAGGGGTATACAGTCCAAGATCCATTTAGATAGTCTTTGTTTGGATATGGGTAGCTCTTTTGATCTTTCCACAGATGAGACAAAAAATTGTGGAATTTTTTGAAAAGGTTCCATGCATTGGAGGTAGAAGGTGATTGCACTACGGATGTCTAGGGTGTATAATGCCCCTTCTCGGTCATCTTCATGGGGTTTAGGAAAGAATACCGGTAAGCATATTGGTTCATTACAGTGGAAAGAGGCAAGTACTTTTGGGAGGAATTTAGAGTGAGTACGGAGGACCACCTTGTCTTTATAGACATTTGTGTACGGTGGTTGTGTCATGTGTGCCTCTATCTCACCCACTCTTCTTGCGGAAGTAGCTGCCAGAAAAAAGGCTAACTTCATTGATAAGTGTAATAGGGAGCTGGTAGCTCATGGGGTAGTTCAAAGGGTTTACCCCATGAGTCTTTAGTATAAGACTGAGGTCCCATGCGGAGAGCGGGTCTTGTTGGGGTGGGAATGTGTTTTGTAGACCCTGTAGGAACCTCTTGGTGAAAGGATGAGTAAAAGCCAAGTAGCCGTCTATTGGAGGATGTAATGCCGCTATTGCAGTGAAGTGTACTGTGATTAAGTTTACTGATAGTCCTGTTTTGTGTAGTTCTAGCAGGTGAGTAAGTATTTCTGACACTCCTGATCCTATTGGAGTGCAGTTGCGTTTGAGGCACTATAACTTGAAGCCGTGCCATTTCTAACTATGTTTTTCTTGTTGCATGTCTATGACAGTTTACCAGGATTTGCTGACCTCTGAAAGCATCATCCAAACACCATCCACACGTGGAGGTAGACAGCGTGTACATTCAGATGGAGGGGAGGCAGCTAGCTCCGCACACAGGATGACTGTTCCAACTGCCGCATGCCAGCGCTCTGTGTGCACAGCCAGAGGTGCACTGTAATCAGAAGTCTGCCAATTACAGGCACAGTGGTGCTGGTACACTTAAGGTGGAGCAGCCACGGGGACATTCCTCGAAGAAGGTAATATCTTTTATTAGACCAACTTTTTTTGGTGTGACCTGAAGAAGAGCTCTCTCTGCATAAACTCGAAAGCTTGTATTTCACAGCAACAAAAGTTGGTTCAATAAAAGATATTATCTCACCCACCTTATTGAGCTTCACATTTCAGGGCACAAGTTGATCACAGCCTGAGGGAATGTCAAACTGAAATTTCCTCCCAAAACGCAGACTTATACAACAAGGTCCATTATGGAAGCATTTCAGCTTTGTCTGAAGCATTCATCATGATACATTCCAGAATAGCAATTTATACGCTGTCAAATGTTCCCGACTTCTTGACCCTGCTTCCCAGGCCAGAAGCATCTAGAGAATTATTACAAAGGCAGCACACTAAAAACTATCTGTGAAGATGTGGTTGAAGGAAAACACATGCCTTGTACTGCTCAACAGCAATATCTCCAAAGATTTGGTTCCTTATCTACTTCCTGGCTGAGTTTGGTGGCTACAACTTGGAGTCCTGAGACAAGGGTTATAATTAGGGATGGAATAGTGTAGTTGATTAACTGATAAGCAAAAACTTATAGCTTAGTGCTATAGACTACATGCATTTCCCCACCCGCCACCCTCAAGTAAATTTTTTAACAGGCTAACCAGCAACTTGGCTCAGTCCTGACTTGCAATGGGTCCAGGACCTACCTCTGCTGTGGCTCTGCATTTAAAGTGTATTAGGAGGTAGGGTGGCAGGCTCACCTTGGGTCCAGGAGCACAGACTCCTCTCCCCCGGAAAGGGGCTGCTGCCACCCTGTGCTGCTGCCTCTTTATCCAAGGCAGCACCAGTCTGCAAAGAGAGCTAGTTTTTAAACTGGCTCCCTTTGTGGACCAGCTCCTGCCTGACACCCTGCACTGCTGTCTCTGATACAGAGGCAGCAGGGTGGAGTGGCAGGGGGCTCCTCGGGAGTGAAGCTGGAGCGCACTGGCTACCAGCCCCGCCCCCAAGAACTATATAATAGTCGACTAATCAATAATAATTCATGAGATTAAACTACTATTCAATTAACTTATATTTAACATCCCCAGTTATAACAGGATAAATGGGAATTGAAAGAATCCTCAGAGCTCAAAAGGACACATGGGATCCCTTGAATTTAAAAAAAAAAAAAAATCTGAGAATTTCTGAAGAAGGCTGGGGTGGAAGAGAATTCAGTTATTAAAAATCAGGGCCAGAGAGGCAATCAGTCAAACAAAACAAAAGACAGGTACATGATCTATACTGAAGATAAGACACACAGAATATTATCTACTCTGCTAATAATTCTGCAGCATTTCATAAGAAACAGGAGGGGGAGTCTCAGGATGAGCTACAAAACAAAGCATGTTAAAAAAGGGGCTCAGGGTGGATACATTCTACATGTGCCTTATTGGTGTCACAATTCCATTTCCAGTGACAAAATGGAGATAGATGCATTGTCCCTTTCTCACATAGGGAGAGACACAAAAGCATGAATACCATCACAAATCACAAATAACAGTTTCTAGAACCAACTACATGGAATGGAAACACAAATTAATCGGAGATACTGCAGTGAGATTGAGACTAGAGAGGGAAGGGAAAGAAAAAGAGACACCAACCGGTTATCAAGCAGTATGCGTTTGTAGATATCAATAGCCTCTTGGTAGTGGGACCGCATATAGTGGATAGATGCCAGACTGAGCTGATCTTCTGTGATGTCCTGCAAATTCTGGTGGAAGCTCATCAACTTTTTTTCATCACTGAACTAACGAGAAAGAGACAGACAACCTCTAAAAGCATTCAGCATGGAAAACAAAAGCAATTAGTCATATTAATCAGGAAGGGCATACAACAAGTAGTAAGTGAGACTGAACTGCAGCAAAGATGATTCAGGTTAGACATTAGAAGTTACTTTCTAACTTTAAGACGTTTTGTCAATGGAGAAATTTATTGAGGGAAAACATAGAAAGCCATTGTTGGGAATAACTGACGCTGAGGCCAAACACACAACTGTCAGGTTTGATTCAGACATAATTAAATCTGCTATGCCATGATATTAGGGGATACTAGCAGGGAGATGGACTAGATACACCATGCTCAAAATAAATCTGCAATTTAAGACTTTACTACTATAATTAGAGCTAAGAAAAAAGAAGCTTTGGTTTTGGATCCAAAGCTCAGTTTTCAGGAACTCCTCTTCTCACCCCTCCCCACAATGCATACATACATACATACATTTTTTAAAAAAAAGACCCCTCTTCTCACTCCTCCCCACAATACATACATACATACATTTTTTAAAAAAAAAATCTCATGCTGAGCAAAAGCCTACCAGAAAGAAAATTACTACAATACTTGTTTGTACATTTTAGATCTCTCTTTCTACAGGGCTCATATCTTCAATTTCTGCAATTACTGAGCCAGCAGTATGGGGTGGCAGCCAGCTCACTGGGAGTGGGGCTGGAGCTTCCATGTAACCATTCATGATAACCAATAAGCTCAGACTCATCGGTTAATGGTATAAATGGTTATCCTATTGCATCTCTACACTACAAAGCAGATTTTAGTTAAGGAAATGAAGAATTATGTTTTCAAATAAACCTTCAAAAAAACAGAATACAACTATCGAAATTAGAATTTGCCAGGTTACCAGGAGTTTTTGCAGAAAGTGCCATTATTTGGGTGAGAGAGCAAACCCAAAACACAGAAGTACAGTGTTCTTTTGCTGCATGCTGGGGCATGGCACAAAAGTAAGTCACATGGAATAACACAATGCCTAATGAGGACCCAATCCAGCAAAGCACTTAAACGATATGCTTAACTTTAAACATATTCGGAATGTGCCCTTCACACATTACAAAGCATGTGCCTGACCCACTTTTGTATTTGGCTTGTCAATTTGATAGCCCACTGATGTCAATGTGGCTATTCATATACTTACAAAAAATTAAGTACCGTGAATTAGCATATAACGCACGGGTTATACATGTTTTTACAAACTCCCCCACACACCCCTACGGGGTATACATGTCCGCATCTTATATAAATTGATTTTTACTCCAGGAGCATCAGTTCTCCTGAGCGGCTCTGCCCGCCCCCCATTAGAACTGGGTTAGCTCCACTGCAGGGAGGGCCTGACGAGCTTCCAGCACGTCTGCACTGCACTCTCTGTTCCCCCCGCCTGGAGGAGGGTGGGTGGTGCCTGGCTGTGGCTGCACGGGGCGGACCTGGGCACGAGCGTGGCTCCCCTCCCGCAGGTCGGTCGGCTTGCTGACAGCAGGATGGCTATTGCCTTGTGTCTGCTCTCTATGCGCTGCTACTCAAGTCCCTGGGGCTGCTGCAGAAGTCTCTGTGGTTTATACATGTCCGCAGGTAATCTTTTTTTTTTTTTAAATACATAGGATAGAAAAACCGTGAGTAGTACAAGGGTGCGGGTTATACGTGGATGCGGGTTATATACGCTAATTTACGGTATATGCTTAAACATTTTACTAGATCTAGGGCTTGCATAACAAATACCACTTCTTACAGGACTTCAGTTTTCTGTGACTGTGCTTAGTTTATATGATCTCACAAAAATCACAGCAATTAATAATATATATATAATAAAGACTTTTGTTGGGAAGTGAAAGGCTTAGAATAAGTGGCATTTTATCTGTTCCTTTCTCAAGTTGAAAAGCCCATTCTGAAAGATATCTGTTGATAAAATTAAGTTTCATTCTGAAAACAGAATCACATCTTGGTGTGGTTGTCTTATTAACTTTTCATGTTTCTAAATTGCCAGTAAATAAAAACCACTTATTCACAAGTGGCTTATGCCGTGGACATAAAAGTTCCCTTGTTAATAATAATAAACAGATCTATTTATGGGATAAAAGCAATCTAATTAGCAGGCTAGAAGTGAAGGAGCTCTCATTAGTGGGCTAGGATAAGACAGACCTAGTCCTCTAAAAATCTGTTTACTTATTCTTGCACATACCATAATGTAACAAAGTGAAGTTTGTGCTTCAGTCATTTTTTAAATGAAAATTAAATCTTCCTGCTAGAAACAAGAAATCTTCCTGTGTTTTGGGGAACTGAATAACTCAGAGGTTTAGTATCAGAAATGACAGGGTTTTTTTTCTTAAGTTGTTCTAAGACACACACACTCGGAGAAACTAGCTGATCTCGGAAGAATGGAAGTGTAAGTAGAAGTCTTTCATATTGTTCGTTTTAATTAGGTCATATAGTGGTGGCAAAGGCCAAAAAAATATCAGACAGATTCTATTAGGCCTATGTGAAATGAACTGGTAGATCTCACTCTAGTTCCTAGCACACTGGTGTCTTCTGTAAGCTCCTCTTTTACAGCTACCAAAGTGAATGGATTTAAATAATGTGATTTAAACAACGGATTTAAATCAGGATTTAAATAACCAAAAATCATTGAATTAAATCAAGTTTTCCACTGATACTTCTTCACATTTCTTCAAACTATGGTGCAAAACTAATCCCTAAAACATGTTAATTTATGGCTTAGTACTGCATTTTACAATATCTAAGAGGGTATATTTTGTATAACTTTTAGATACCTTGATTTTATTAATTTAGGAAATAGTACATAATACTCAGTACTTGTATCAGCCTTCAGATGCAGTAGCAGCACATTAGGAATGGCAAGAACTAAATCACACAAACATAATAGCAGTTATATAACATTTAAGATGTAATTTAATAAAATGTTTCATATTTGCAATTGGAGCAGTGTCCTGTGTTACCGGCTGACAGCTGACCTTAACCCCTTTTTTTATTTAATTTTCAAATGTTGTTAAATCTGAAACACAAAAGCTTCAGACGGTTAGCCACATTAGTCTGTAACTGGAAAAACTTAAAAAACAACAACTAGTCTTGCAGCACCTTAGGCCGTGTCCAGACTCAAGGGTTTTTTCGAAAAAAGTAGCCTTTTTTTGAAAAAACTTCACTTGCGTCTAGACAACAGCCGCGTTCTTTTGCAATCTTTTCTTTCAACGGCGGTAAACCTAATTTCACGAGGAAGAACGCCTTTTTTCGAAAGTGCTCTTTCGAAAAAAGGCATTCTTAAATGCAAACAGGGCGTTTTCGAAAGAGAGCATCCAGACTGCCTGGGTGCTTTCTTTCGAAAAAGCACCTTGCTTTTTCGAAAGTACTGGTTGCAGTCTAGACGCTCTTTTTCGAAAGAGGGTTGCAGTCTAGACGTAGCCTCAGAGACTAACAAAACATGTAAGTCCTCAATGTATGGTGTCCTTAAAACTGCTACAACTAGCTCTCCTCTTCCCCACTCCTATTGTCATTTTGATGCAGATCTGATTCCAAGTTAATAAAAATGCTAAGACTGATTGTGCTTAGAATACACTTAATTTTAGAGTAAGCCCCACTGAAAACAAATATAGAATGGAGTTTCTTTGGGAAAGAGGAATTATGCTGAAGTAAAATAGGGAATAGACATATGGCACCACCATTATGATCTGTGACCATAATGCTTCAAAATAGGGGGCATGTATTATGTAGTATAAAATAAGACAATGACACGCTGTGGCAACTGGCATCTCGAGAATTCTCTTATTGCAGCTTTCTGTGCTGTATATTTGGCTAATAGAATCTAAACCTAGTTAACTAATTAAACAAGCCATAAGCGTTAGCTAAGCTAAACCTTTTTTCAAGCAACATCTAACATAGCAAAAAACTTGGGAATTTACTTGTTAAATCACACATACTAAAAGAAATAGAGAGAGTCTCAAAGAATGATATAAAATTGATCCACATTGTTCTTCAGACATAGGCACATCTTCATCCACATCATTTTCCTTATAATGTTTCATTCTTGTAGCTAGGCCCTGCATTTTCTTCTTGCACTGCTTACACTTGACATATTTTTCTTTTTTTCCCAGGGAACACATTTTTTCAAAATATTCCCAGATAAAAAGTTCACTTTTACACCCAGAAGACATGACAGTTTTTCTATGGCAAATGTTGAGAGGCACATAGAAGCTGTGAGTGTGCTGCATAATATCTTCCCTTTTTCTTTCCAGTCCATTCCACTGCCTCTGTCCTTTCCTATATATAGGCTGTCTACACTACAGAGTTTCTTTGGAAAAACAGATGTTTTTCCGAAAAAACCCCGTCAATTACATCCACACTGCAATCGCGTTCTTTCGGAAGAAAAAAATGAAATAACAGAGGGATTTTTCTGACAGCGGTAAACCTCTTTCTACAAGGAAGAACGCCTTTTCCAAAAGAGCTCTTTCGGAAAAAGGCATGTGTGGATGGGGAAAAGTGGGGGGGTTTTTTCGAAAGAAGAGGCCTCCAGGAAAAAGCACAGGTGCCCTGGTGGCCACTCCGTTCATAGTAATCACAAATTAAATGCGAGATAACGTTCAATGAATGTGGATGATGTCTTTCGAAAAAGCAATCACTTTTTCAATGCACTTTGGCAGTGTGGACGATCTCTTTCAGAAGAAGATTTTTCGGAAGATCTCGTCTGGAAACGCTTCTCCTGAAAAAGCCTGCAGTATAGACATAGCCAGTCTCACTGTCTTTAGACAATATATCTTAACTAATTCTGCTGTGCTTGGGCCAGGCCCACTACCACATAAGCACAGAATGAAAACAATCCTGTCCAGACTGTCTGTCTTTTCACGTTAGTCTGCTGAGAAACAGAAATTGAAGACCCAGAACTTTCAAGAAGCAAGTGCTCGTTGTTAGGCTGGACAGACTAGAGCCATTCATTCCTTTTTTTTAAGATTGTAAGTGTAGGAGTAGCATGTTTGTGATAAGATTTAAATGTAACTGCTATTTTTAAATTAGAAATTTAGTATTTTATTGGTGAGTTAAAAAATTTAAAAAAATCTGATTTAAATACAAACACTGATCGTTTAAAATAATTGATTTTTAACCATCCTGACACACACAGAGAATTACTCTAAATCAGATTAAAGCAGTTGTGTTGGTGGTTGGGAAAATCTGTTCTGCTCATGATGTATCTACAATATAGACTCATTCTGGAAGGTTGTCAGTCTAGCACCAATTACTGATCAACATTCAGAAAGACACATGATGAGTGAGCAAAGAGACATACATACCTTATGTGCTAGATGAAAGAGCAGACGATTCTGGAGTCGACTTTTAGGTGCTGAAAGAAAAATCCAAAAGTAAATTACAGAGCCCCAGTACCAACACAAGATGCCCCTCATTGTTTGTAACATCCCTCAGACATTCTATCATCTTGCCTAAACACACGTCACCAACACCACATAGTCTATAGCTGAACTTCTTGGAACTTCTCACAATCTTGGCACTGTTTAAGAATCTTTCTGTATTTCCCAACTTCATCAGCTCTACAGCTCTTTTTAATTCGCTGCTGAACACACATGTTCTCCCATGCTTTTACCTCTTGTCTTCCTTATTTTCATGGCTTTATTACTTCTCTCTAAAACATTTTGTATATTTGCTAGAGTTTATATGAAACATGCTATACAAAGCACACTGAAAACAATGTATCTGAAAAGAAATATAGGCAACCAACCCTTAATCAAGGCTCCAAGTACCATATGTTACAACTGCTGTAAATTATGTGGCAACACCTTTAAAATTACATAGCAAGATTCCTGGAATTATGAGGCAAGGCCCAGCAAAGCTGAGAATCCAAACAATATCAGCATCCTTCAATAATACCATCTTTTATGCCTGCTAAAACAAATCAGTTCTAATTATTGTATTAATGAATATGGAATAAATGGGTCCCAGAGACTCAAATTTGTTGTAACCTGTCTAATATTAAAGAGTTTTAAATAAATTTCATGGTTTGGTATGCAAAGACTTTGGCCTGCTTAGTACCATTAAAATAATTTTTAACCTTTTGTTAAAGACATAGAAAAGGGAAAAAAACAGTTAAAGCATTTGAAATGTAAAGTATTAAATAACGCTTTATTTTTAATAATGGCCCTTGTTCACTTTCCCTGCAGCTAGAGAGAATTTTTAGATGGAACCACACCCTTACCCCTGGAATTCCAGTCTCCTAAGTGGTATTAAAAATATTTATTGTCCTTTTGGGGAAATTGAAGAATCTCCTGCACTCGATACTTAGTACTATGTTAAGTGCAGGCAACTAGACTAGAAAACTTCTCAAGATCCCTTCTAGTCCTACCATTCTAAGAGCCTCCAAGTTAGTTGAGGTGTGTGTCTGTATGGGTATATCTACACTACAGCACTAATTCGAACTAACTTAATTCAAATTAGTTAATTCGAACTAAGCTAATTCGAACTAGTTCATCTAGACCTAAAAACTAATTCGAATTAGCGTTTTGCTAATTCGAACTAGCATGTCCACATTGAGTGGACCCTGAACCGAAGTTAAGGCTGGCTAGAACAGGTTCCGGCAGGGCATCAGATTAGGACTTAGAGCGTGGAGCTGCTGCCTCAGGCTAGCTGAGGGCTGTGCTTAAGGGGACCCGATCCCCACCCCGGACAGACAGTTCTCAGGGTTCCCCGCTTGCTTGTCTACCTCGATGAGGGACAGCAGAGCAGTCCTGTCTTGGAGTGCCCTGAGTGCCCACACTCGGCACATCACAGCACTCTGCCATCAACCCAGCTAGACTTGCCGCAGGC